TCTTATAAAGTAGATCGATGGGTTTTTGTAATTTTACCTTAAAATTTTTTTGTCTCGAATAATGACTTTCTTTGCTGATCTCTGACTTGATGTATGACGTATGACCTAAGACACATTTGTACCGGATTGCCAAAAATTGCCAACCCAACTAGTTGGCTAAATTCTAAATCCCAATGGCCAAAAAAATGCTAGAAAAAATACTTCCAGAATGGCATCGCAGAAATAGTAGATGCACTCTTAAGACGATATTTTACAAAAGTAAAATAATTTTTAAAACTGTTTTCTATTTAAAATGATAATTCATTTAATTTATTAGTTAAATAATCTGAAACTACTCAATACATAAAACAATAAAACACAAGCTCTAATCTTTAATAAAATCTGTAATAAAAGAAGCATAGGTGATGGTTCGAACTACTAACCTCAAAACTATTGAGATTGATGGCGTCTTCATCAGGATGTCATGTGTGGAATGATGTAATTGACTGTAGTTTTGATGACATTCACTCTGCATTCATGGGGACATCGCCACTGTATGTATGTATGTATGTATGTATGTATGTTGAGGACAAATTGGTCACGCAGCTCAAGCTTCAGACGAGAGGTCACTGAGAGGTGAGGTGAGCCAAACTCCACCTCCAGACACTGCTTCTGGATCAGCCTCTTCTGATGGACTGCACATCACTGAGAAACCCATACTGTACTGATCTCCATTCAGCTCCCAGCTCCTCCATCACATCATCAACTCATTAATTCACTCATTCACCAAATGTCAACTTACAGGCATATACACTTAAAAAACAAAGTTGACTCAACATACAATTTTAAAGCAACAAACTTCAGGAAATTTTTTGAGTTTACATAACTTAAATCGAGTCGAGTAGAGTACATGGGTTTCAAGTTCAACTCAAAAATGTCGCGAAATTTGTTTCCTTAAAATTTCAAGTTTAGTCAACTTTGTTTTATTAAAGTGTAGGTGCAGAAGGTAAAAACATTTTATTATGTCTTTTTAAAGAAAAGGATCCAGGATGGTGGACAAATTGTGTGCTTAAATTTACCAACAAACATGAAAAATACAACTAAATAAAGAAATAGCAAGTTCTGTAATTAAAAAAAAGAATAATAAAATAATAATATCTTGGTACATAATATCTTTATCTCTTGTTTAACCTTTTATCCTTTTATGTTTATGTTTTGGTCTAAATATTAACAAACGAACATTTAGAGCTCATAAATGTATTATCACACACACACACACACACACACACACACACACACACACACACACACACACACACACACACACACACACCCACACACACACACACACATATATATATATAGTTGAAGTCAAAATTAATAGCCCCCTGAATTATTAGACCCCCTGTTAATTTGTTTCTCCAATTTCTATTTAAAGGACAGAAGTTTTTTTTTTCAACACATTTCTAAACGTAATAGTTTTAAAAACTCATCCCTAATAACTGATTTTTATCTGACATGATGATTTGTCAAATATCATTTTATTAGATATTTTTCAAGACACTTCTCTACAGTTTTAAGTGACATTTAAAGGCTTAACTACATTAATTAGGCTACAGTTAGGAAGGTTAGGGTAATTAGGCAAGTTATTGTACAACGATGGTTTGTTCTGTTGACTATTAAAAAAAAAATAGCTTAAAGGGGCTAATAATTTTGCAGTTCAACTGCGTGTGTGTGTGTGTGTGTGTATAGTCATAATTATTAACAATAATAATAATTATATGATAATTTTAAAGTCAAAATTATTAGCCCCTTTGAGCTATATATTTTTTGACTGTCTACAGAACAAACTGTGTCTACATCATTATACAATAACTTGCCTAATTACCCTATCCTGCCTAGCTAACCTAATTAACCTTGTTAAGCCTTTAAATGTCAATTTAAGCTGTATTGAAGTGTCTTGATAAATATCTAGTCAAATATTATTTACTGTCATCATGGCATAGATAAAATAAATCAGTTATGAGAAATGAGTTATTCTTTAAAAAGAAATAATAATAATAATAATAATAATTATTATTTATTAGAAGAAAGTATCAGATGGATTTTAGGGTTTTTTGCATCTAAACTCATATAATAATTTATAGTAAACGCTAATGCTATGGTTTGGGAAACCATTTTATGGTAAATACTTGAAATAATTAGTTATTTCAATTCTATAGTTGTTATGTAAGGGATAAAGTACATCCAGACAGTTGTTATTACAGAATAAAGCCTGAAAGGCTTATTGGCAGCCTTGACATAAAGCAAAGCATGGTTGTATAAGACTGAAGGCCTTTATTCTGCTGAAACAACCACCTGGATGTATTTTATTCTACTTATTACACGTCAAAAAAAGACACAAACATTGTTCTGAAACATAATAGCTCATTAACTCTTTAATTAAAGTTAAAAACTGACAGAAATGAAAACAGCTGAATGGAGCATACACTAACTTATGTGTTAATCAGTCACAAGATGGAGCCAAACCGACAAAAACAGCAGCGGAGACAGACAAGCATACAGTGCTCAGCATAACTGAGTATGCCCCATTTTGAAGATCAATATTTGTATTCATTTCTCAGTGAATATAGGCAATGTATTTTGGTGCATTTAAACAAAACAGATTTATTAAACAGATATATTTATTAAAATTATATTTTTGTCACCAAAAATATTTATAAATTAAAAGAGAATACAATTACATACAAGCAAAGTGTTGCAAAATATAGATTATAACATACAAAATTTCAACATTTTTTTTCTTATTTTCTTTTGCTTTGCTTGATTTTTCCTATTTAATCTAATTCATATTTTCCTATTGTATGTATTTATAATTTTTCTACAACATATACATTTGGGTGTACTAGTTTTTGGACCGTTGTCGTAAGATATTTTGTTAGATAAGCTCCAGATTTGGCTTCAGTACTGACTAACCTATATACTGTAAAATCGATATATTTGTATGGGGTGGACTTATATATGCTGAACACTGTAGATATGGATGTGAACATATTCACTGACTGTCAAAATTCTATTGTAAAACTTGATATGATAACGTTAGTCTCATTAATTAAAGTCAATTAATTTTGGAGATATTTGTGTGTGTTTTAAAAAACAAACACACACACACAGAAATGTTTAATTTCAAGTATATTTGTCAATCAGACCATTAGATGACATATTTATCCCTGTGTCATACAGTATCATCTTCATCTTCATCCTTCATGTCATGCCTCATCCTGCGCACTGTCAGAGCTCATTCACACACGATACGGACGAGCAGGCGGAGCGTTCAGGATCAAGCCACGCTCTTACTGGACTCTTCAGAGAACCAAATGACTCTATGGTGAATCTGGATCTTTTTTCTGGAGGCACGGGAACTCAAATCTGACCCTGAAACCTGCAAACCACTCTGTGTTTTAACTGAAGTTTCCTTTTTTTGTTTTATGTACATTTAGCAATACATAGCTACTTATGCACAGATTTCATCTCTATATTTTGATTCTTTTTTAACATTTATTATCAGAAATTAAGCAAAGGTAATTTTGTAAAAATAATACAGTATATATTTTCATAGTTTACATTTTAAGTGTACATTGTGTATATTATTCAAAAACTATTTGAAAATACCAGTTTGTTTTTGCATTAATTTTGAATTTATGAATTTGTACTTATGAATTTGAACTTATTTATTTATAATTACTTATATTTCTCACTCTATTGCATTTATTCTTTGAAATTGCCTAAAATATTATTTAAATGTAATAATGGTTTGGTTCTGAATGAATTTCTTGCTATGTTTTTACAATATGCTGACACTTTTTATAGAGGGTGTATTATATGTAATGGCCACAGGAGGCCATACACATGTGAAAAAGAAGTACTCTTAAATTATTGGACGTACATTTGTTATGTATTTACAAAAGTTGACAATATTTACAAACACTGTACTTTTGGACGATACACTCACCGGCCACTTTATTAGGTACACCTTATTAATACTGGCTTGGGTCACTTTTGCCTTCAGAACTGCCTTAGTCCTTCATGGCAAAGATTCAACAAGGTACTGGAAATATTCCTTAGAGATTTTGGTCCATATTAACATGATAGCATCATGCAGTTGCTGCAGATTTGTCCAAAGCACATCCATGATGCAAATCTCCCATTCCATCACATCCCAACAATGCTCTATTGGATTAAAACTGGTGACTGTGGAGGCCATTTGAGTACAGTGAACTGTTTGTTATGTTAAAAACCAGTTGGCATTGTTATAAAACCAGTCTGAGATGATTTATGCTTTATGACATGGCATTTAATCCTGTTGGAAGTAGCCATCAGAAGATGGGTACACTGTGGTCATAAAGGGATAGACATGTTCCGCAACAATACTTAGGCGGTGACATTAACACGATGCTCAATTGGTACTAATGGGCCAAGAAAATATTCCCCAGTTAAACCACCACTGCCAACCTGAACTGTTGATACAAGTTGATGCCAAATTTTGACCCCACCATCTAAATGTCGCAGTAGAAATCAAGACTCATCAGACAAGGCAACTTGTAGCCTCGGTTTCCAGTTGATACCTGGCAAAAGTGGCACCCGGTGTGGTTTCTGCTGCTGTAGCCCATCCGCCTCAAGGTTGGATGGGTTGTTCATTCAGAGATGCTCTTCGGCATACCTCAGTTGTAAAGTGTGGTTATTTGAGTTACTGTTGCCTTTCTATCAGCAGGAATCAGAATGGCAATTCTCCTCTGACCTATAGTATCAACAAGGCACTTGTGCCTACAGAATTGCCGCTCACTGGATATTTTATCTTTTTCTGACTATTCTCTGTAAACCCTAGAGATGGTTGTGCATGAAAATCCCAGTAGATCAGCATGCTTGGTTTGAACTGTAGCAGATCATCATGACCATGTCTACATGCCTAAATGCATTGAGTTGCTGTTGTGTAATTGGCTGAAATTTGCATTAACAAGCAGTTGTACAGGCATATCTAATAAAGTGACCGGTGAGTGTATATACAGAAATCTATATGAAATTATTTTGTCTGTATGCATTCAAAAAGTCTGCTAAAGTGTACTTATTTTCACTTAGTAGTGAGAAAACCGCTGAGAATTATTGCCAAACAATGTGCCAAAATCATTTGGCCAAAATTTTTTTCAGCCAGCAGTTCTTTATTCATAACTAAATTTTCTGGCCTGTTTATCACTTTAAATACCTGTGACTTCATAAATGTATGTGTCTTTATTCGTTTTCAGCAATATGGCACCACAGACTTGATTATGGCTTGATTATGATTTTTAATGAAGATATCTGGATAATCAAACTGCTGGTGTCAGATTCAATAGTATTGTTTACAGCTTAAAATGTTTTGAATTAATATAAAATGTTGTAAAACAGTGTGCAGTGACTGTATTTGATTTATTTAGGCTCTACTAATGATTTTTGTTCTTTCAGGGATCCAGTTTCGTCTCCCTACTGCCTGTAGTGCGGATCGAACAGAAACCCCCACCCCAGGTAAAGGCACACATACCACTGAAATCACACTGAGAAGCATCATGTTTGGAAGCGTCATGTTCACACACACACTCAGATTTCCATGTCTCTCCAAACTCATATGACCTTTTCTCATGGAGCACAAAATCAAATGCCAAAGTCTTGCTTTTTCAGTCAATGAATATGCATGGTGATTCAAACAATCCATGCCAAAAACAGAACCAAATGTAAAGCAAAATAATACATGGTGACAAAACAAAACAATGCCAAACAAAAAAACAACAACAAAACATTAACAGCAAAATCAAGACAAAACAAAAAGTGACAAAGGCGAAGCAAAAAAGCAACATTCAAAGGCAAATCAAAACACCTAATTGAAGCCAAGCAACAAAAAGGAATGCAACGAAACAAGCAAAAGGAAAAATTTGCAAACTGAAATTTGCAAATTGAAGTCAATTCAAGATAAAGCAACAAAGCAAATTAAAAATTAGCAAATAATTATAATAATAAAACATTCAAAAGAGAGAAAGAAAAGGAAAACAAGTCAACAGGTCAAATAAAAAAGCTAAATCAAGGTCAAGCAACAAAAATGAAAGCAAAACAAAATGCAAAATTAAAAAAAGCAAAGCAAAGAAAAACTAAAATTAAGCAAAAAAATTAAAAAGCTGCAAGACAAAACAAAGGAAACCAAAGCAAAAGAAATACAAAACAATTAAAGCAAAACACCAAAGTCAAGCCAAACAACATGAAAGCAAAGCCAAGGAGAACAAAAATAAAGCAACAAAAACCAAAAGAACAAAACAAAGCAAAGCAATGAAGTGAAGTGAAGCAACGAAGCAAAGGAACAAAGCAAGCCAAAATAAAACAGCAAAACAAAGCAACGCCAGTGACACCTGATGCTCAGCTTGTCTTCTAGTGAACGTCTGTGACTGTAATGCTGATATAGTTCTGTACACACATTATAAGAAAATATCTGCTCTTGAATCCTCTGTTTTACTGTCTCTTATTATGCACCGCATGCACCGTATGGCTGATTTTAGTTGAGACTGAACATCTGTTGTTGATTAAACAGTCACGCTAAAAGTTTTATAAGCCATTCAAGCTGCATTTAAAGTGCAGAACACACAGCTAACCACATGCACTAATAAACAATTCAAGATTTCAGTTCACAACCTCATGTGCCATACACAAATTTGGGCAAAACATCTGACACATTAACACAACGATAAATATGTTAATTTGTAATCAGTGTAAAATTAGTACTGTAGATTGGTAGAAATTAGTTCACTGATGTCATAAGAGACGGAAATCTCACTATATGCAGCCCTAGGCTATAGCTACAGAAGTTTGTGTTTTTACAATGCGCGTCATGTTTTTACTGGTAAATACACACACAAATAAACACACCTAAACTAATATAAATCATTGACCACTACAGAAAAGATGTCCATTCGAATTTTTTTAATGGCATTGTGTTTGTAAGGATTTGGAGTTTGGTTTTAAGATGTACTAAAAAACTGAAAAGGTTTTCCTTTGCTATTTAAAAAGAATTGTGTAATGATGGCAATGTTGAACCCACAGGTTTTGAACCCACAGATTTATGGCAATGACTAAAAACCAACCCAGGCTCAATGTATATACATGCCTCAGCCTAAAGTTTTGTAGAACATAAAAGAAGTTGCTCTGGGTACGTTTCGTTGATGTTTCAGATAACATATCCACTAGAGAGTGCTATCTACATGTTTGTGAATCTGAAATACTTAGGTTACGTTTTGTTGTACGTTTCTTATACAAGTCATTCTTTTACACATTCAATGCAATTCAATTCATGTTTATTTATATAGCGCTTTTACAATGTAGATTGTGTCAACGTTGATTTACATAGAAGTTTTAGTAAAGTCCAATTTTCAGAGTTGAAGTTCAGTTTAGTTTTCAGTGTGGTTTAATTTTTACTGCTGAAAGTTCAAACACTGAAGAGCAATATCATCAATGCGCCGTTCCATAAGTCCCAAACCACAGGTGTCAAACTCCGTTCCAAAAGGGCCGCAGCTCTGCACAGTTTAGTTCCAACCCTAATTAAGCACACCTGATCAAACTAATTGAGTCCTTCAGGCTTGTTTGAAATCTACAGGTAGGTGTGTTGGAGCAGGGTTGGAACTAAACTCTGCAGGGCTTCGGCCCTTCAGGAATTGAGTTTTACACCCCTGTCCCAAACCAAGCAAGCCAGTGGTGAGGAAAAAAATTCACCAACTGACGAAGTGACAAAACCTTGAGAGAAACCAGGCTCTGTTTGGCACGACCATTTTTCCTTTGGCCAAACTTTCTGTGTGGAGCTGCAGTCTTTGCGCCGGAGGCTGGAGAAAGCTATTATCCATTATAGAGAACTGCAGCTCTGAGTACGCCACCGGGGCTGTTCAGGCTAGCCCACAGGATCAATGCTGTGACCCGTCTGTCACTGTGGTCTTTCAGGAATCATTCTAATGTACTCCACTCCTCCACGACCACCACAGCATCAGCTCAGGATATGGCCTGGTCCAGGATTATGGATACACTATGGCATCATTTCTTTGGCATCAGGTCTTAGATTGCATCCATGGTGCTGCATAATCCATGGTGCTGCATAATGCTGCATAATCTCTGGTGACCTTGGGATGAGTATCCCCAGGTGGAAATAGAGAATAAAGAAAATAGCTAGGTAGCTGCTGTAATGTATTTAAACAAGATGCAAAAATTAAGTGCTATAAATAAATATAGTAGTTATATTAACAAACATATAAACAAACACGTCCATGATTGCTTTCAATTACATTAATTTGTGATTTCAACAAAAATGTAAGAAAAAGCTGCTCTACAACCAGGTCATTTTACCTTAATTTTGCATTGCTTTAATCTCTTGTTTGGAACCGTGCTTTACCAAACTTAAACCCAACAACAAACAACACCATACAAAGTGAGCTACCAAGCAAACCAGCCACACCAGAAAATTTGTCCATATGTAGATAGATAGGTGAGATGAACGGTTACAAATAATAGACAACAAGTTGTTTAGTGGTGTTTGGTGTAGTGCAAAAAATGCATAATAATAATCCTTTAATTATTGACAATATGTTCTTGTTAATATCATTGCTGTGAAATAGAGCAAAAGTTGTTGCCCCATATTGTTAATTTTGCCTAGAAACCTGTCATACGTATGTTTTACATAATAGACCAGCTGAGAGCAGGTCTAAAATCCAGCGCAGAGCACGTTAGTTGTGCGCCTTTAACACATACACATTGCCAAACATACACAAGATGTACAGCAATATGCAAATACTTTTACAAGTAAAAAAGAATTAAAGGATTAAAATATTGCAAAAATTATTTTTTTCTACATAAATCGAAAAACCACTGCCTTCATGCCTTCTTCATCTCTGGGGGCTTTTTTCAGTTTATTCACAACAACTTGCTTTTGTATAATGTTATTATTATTAGCAGTATTATTTACTATATGCATATTTATGCTTGTTTTATTAAAAACAAGCTTAAATTTGTCCACCTGTTGTATTTTGGACCATATGGGGCTTGGCATGTGTGTTTGGATATATTTTTTGACCATTCTTCGTTATTATTGTTTGTCTATTTTTTATTTTATAATTTATTTATTTTTTTGCTGGAAATCAGAACCAAATTTAAAAATAGTTTTGAAACAAAAATTTGCACTTTATAAATGAAAATAATTATATAGTCTAATAGATGTCTGTGAGTACAACACATTTCCTTATCTCAGAAAGAGAGAAAGAGAAAGTGAAAGTAAAGGCCTATTGGAGGAGGCTCATTATTTATCCTCATGCTGCAGATGATCTGTTTAACTGTTTGCTATTGAAGTGTTCAGTTTTTCTAGTTAGAAATTCCACCATGTAAATAGCATATGCACCATGGCAGGACAAACTGACTCTTAAAGGGAATGTGAGATGCGACACTGATTTGTTTATCTTAAAAACACACCCATAACTCATTCAGAGAATAAGCTCAACCCTGTTAGACTATGCACCGAACCGCAGAGCATATTTTTCTTGCCTTTAAAATAGCAAAAGTTTATTCGTACACGTCCTGCGCTTTAGACTTTGCACCTAGATTGTTGGGCTAGTATGACCAATTTACTAGCCCATTTAGAACCCTAAAAAATAAAAAATGGAGAGAGTATTTACGGACTTTACTGAAATTTGCCATATTATTGAGTTATTTCCATAAAATTTGAAGATGATAGCATATGGCAGCATTTGCTTGTCTATTTATTTGAAGGAACTTCCTTGAAACACCAGGTGGTGCTTCTTGGACACATCATCCGTGATGAACTCCAGGTAATGGGGTGTTTCAGGTCTAAGATCATTAGACACCCTCACCTGGGCAACCCAACTAGGATCCAGTCCTCAGCTTGTGTCCAAGTGACATGCTACACCAAGGATATCCCTTTTTAATCCACTGCCGCCTTGAACCTTCTTAGAAGCTTCAGTTATGTTCTTGATGTCTCATGTACTCCTACCTTGCAAAAAAGACTGAGTGGATGATGTAAGGACTGGCCAGCAAAGTCCCTGCGTCACATCTTAATGGGATCACAGCGTGAATTTGTTTACTCGTGGCACTGGAGAGACCTCTATTCCCAGAGGGTGAACCCAGATTGGCAGCCACTGGAGAACACTTTGCGACTAGTAATGGTCATTCCCAGTACCAAGGATGAACCAATGCCCACCCAACCACCTTCTCGAGGTGCTTGGGCTTGGCTAGCCAGCTGCATTTTCCACCATCCAGTGCCAAGCTCCCACTCCAACCATCCAGGTGGAGTGATGGGGAGATGGAGGATGGTGATACTGGATTTGGGAAGCTCATTCACCCTGGCTTATCACATTATAATCTCTGCGCCTACCTTTATCCCTTAATGCTTTTTTTTACAGATTGTTAAAATAGAGCCCATTATGTTTAAAATGTCCCACGATGTTTACATAGAATGAATGTGGCTTATATAAGTGCAAAAAAGCCCGTTT